ATGACTGATATCTGGCACTTTGTGATGTATGGCCCTTCCTTTATCAAAGAGCACTAAAATATTCCCACCTGATTTTTTTTTCATGTAGGATTCTATTCTAAACAAAAGTTGTAAGAATTACATTGAATGCAAACAAAATATGTAAGTGTCAGTCTGATTTTAATTGACTACCCACAGATATTTATCGCATAATACAAAGCAAAAAATAAGAATACATAGCAGCAATCTAGGTCTTCTAGCATAAACTACCTAAATACAAACACTTTAAAAAAATGACAGTTCACACATTTTTACATGTAGGTGTAGGTTGGAGGGCCTGATGCAAAGGAAAAAAACTGAGGTTATGTTATATTGTGATTTTTCAAAATTCACTTTAACAGTAGCATGCTGACTTTTTGACTACCTGTCAGTAAGGAAATACAAAAAAAAAATCATGTTTACATTTTTAAGCAATCTTGCTTGCATGTCCCCTGTTGTCATGCCAATGTCAGTTTAAAGCAATCATTGCTATATTATCTCTCTTCCTATCACCAGAAATGTAGAATATAGGTGTTGCTTTTAAAGACCTTAACACTTAGAAATATTGTTTTTCTCATAAATATGTAGACACATCTGTAAACAAACAGTCTTTGGAAAAAAGTAGATGGAAAAAATTGTAATGAGGTATGTTCTAAATGTCCACTCAAATTTACACAGTACTATACAGAAGGAATTGTATTAATTATTCAACTTGATTAGACTGTAATGTCTGCCAGTTTCATTTCCTGTGCCTTGTGGAATAAAATCAATAAAAATTACCTGACAGTTCCAAATGTGGATACTGTATCTCCCAACTGTTCTAGAACAAAGTCTTTTGATTGCATAAACCTGTTAATTGCAGGAAAAACTCGGTAAAAAGTATCTGCATTTCAAAAGGATGGGCCAATTAACTCTACTTTATTGTTCTATTGATTTGTAGGGCTTTCAGTTGAATGTAACAGACGGATAAGGAGATTGGAGAGAAGTCACTTAAGCTGTTAAGCAAAAAAAAAGTCTATTGAAGACAAAGGGAAGACTCCTATCGACTTTAATGAACTTTAGAGACGGTCTTTAGGGAGTATGCACAAATACCTCAATACTGAATTTGAATGATTCACACTCTGTTCTTTAATTATTTCTGTATAGGAGAGAATCTGATTTTTCAGTTTATGTTCTATCCTCTATGTAATGTGAAACCATTAACAGGCTGTGAGCAGAATATGGTATTGTCCATAGATATGATAGCACAGATATGTGATAAAACTTTCCCTCACTTAAAATTTCCCTATATCTGGAATCAGTAGTAGAACTGGAGAATTCACGTGAGTGGCAGTGTCTGACTATCCTCATCCAGGGAAGCGAATTTGATACCTACTATTTAGACAATACAGTGTATTCATGTAAAAAAAACCCTACTGTTCAGAGGTATTTTTATGAGGCAGGAAGAAAGCTTGGTCTACACTAGAAGCTCTTACTCGTGTAGTAATGTTTCTACAGGGGTGTGATTTTTTAATTTAACATTTTAATTTAACATTTAATTTAAATTTAACCATTTATTACTGGCAAAACCTTAGTATAAATGCAGTTATATCAGCAGAGAGGTGCTTTTGCTGGTATAACTTATTTTGTTTGGGGAACTGGTCAAACTGAAGATACCCTAGGAAGGTTTGCCAAGCTATTCTGCCTAACCCTTTCAAGTGCAGACAAGGCCTTAAAGTTGCCACTGTCAGGTCTGTAAAGGGTAACAACAAGCAATTTACCTCCTTTTCAGTTTACGTTATGGAAGGCAGCCTCATATTCAGACATAGCCTTTTTTTAAAATGAAAGTTCCATTTTGGATTGGAAAGTAAAACTATCTGAAATAAAAATGTTCAAATGTTATTAAAATATGCTATTTTCTCCAATAATGAGCAATATTTGAACTTCAGAGAGATACACAAAAGTAATTCACAACAAATACACATAATATTAGTAGTGGAGGTTGAATCGTTTGATGCCATCATGTTTCTGAAGTGCAGTTAGGTGATCACACGTGACACTTCAGGCAGTTATAACAGACACCCGGACATCTTACTTATGTTCTGAGCACATATGTGTTAAATGTCTTTATCCTCTTAAGTATTGCTGTCCGGCTTAATGACATGTCATTACTTTTATATTTTGTTATAGTTTTAAAACCACAGGTTGAGGACTCCAGACCTCTGCCATTATATCATGTACCTGCATTCTCTGAAATGTTGCCAGCCACTCTAATTCTTCTTTGAAGGTCCACATACAACTCTGTGCAAAAGTTTTTCTATTGACCTCAAAGAGAACTGAATGTTTTTCTAACGATGCAAATCACTTTCTGATGTGGTATTTACCATCTATTGGTCTGACACTTGTTTTTAAATTTGGTACATGGCTGTCAATAATGCAGACATCTTATTAAAAGGACCCTGCCAATTAGAACATTGTGTTTTTATCTGAAAAAATTGTTACTATGGTTTCAAGTAATGTATAAAAGCACTGTGACTGAAAGAAGTTAATGATACATTTTTGGTTGATTTTTTTTTTAACTTTATGCAACTAATTGGTATTTTTTTGTATTGCCAATTTCATCTTTTCACCTGTATTTCACCTATGCTGAAAAGACTTATAGACAGCAGTTGGGGAGCAGAAAGTCTCTGCTCCCATTTTTATTTATTTATTTTTTAATCTAGTATACTGTTTAAAGAATGCTATTTTAGAAAGTGCAAATTTTGGGAAAAAATATTTTTAAAAAGTATTCAAGTTGACATTCTCCACTTTAAATAATAGCTTTTCCTGCTTGTTTAAATGAAACTGTTGAGGTGTTCATTGGAATTACTCTAAAAAAACACTTGTACTTCAGTTTCCAGGCCCATTCATTCTGTGGTTGCTCTGTTAAGACTAAGATCAACGGTGACATGTTTTTCTTAAGAAAGTTCACTTACTGTTGCTGCTGTCCATTATCACAAAATGTTTTCTGTCTTAAGGTCCCGAGACTGAAGATAAATCTGTGTTCTTTTTCCCAGTCGGATTTATGTCAGAGCTGTGTTATTCCAGAGATGGGGGCACTGTGGATATCTTTGCTAAAACATTTAGCTACTATAGGCACGAAAGAGGTTTTGGGGGTTGTTTTTTCAAACACTTCTTAAATATACTATGATATTGTTCACTATATGACTTTAAAACTCTCTCCCAGCATCCAATATCATACAGTTTATTGCATTCTTTTGCAGAAAGCAAAGCACATGACTTCCATCAAAACGCAGAAAAAAAGTTTCTCAAAATGAGAAGGAAAGTCTAGGCTTGTGAATTCCTGATGGGAGTTTCCCATCTTCTGTACTAGAGCAGGATCTGTAACTATTCATTTTAAGCCCAAGTCCAAGTCCCTTGGTTCAATGGGAGTTTTTCTGTTGACTTCTGTAGGTTTTGGATCATTCTGTTTGTGAGAACACATGAGAGACAGGCCACACGTCTTTTGGAAGAGATTTACACTTACATGTTCTAAAAATTCTGACTGCTTGTCTTGAAAGAGGGTGACTGCCAATATTTTGGGAGTGTAATATTTTTAGTAAAATGTTCCTTTTATCTTGGAGTAAAAACTAAACTCCAAAAAATTGAAGTGCTGCTTTCTTTTGCATGTAACATAACAATCCAATCCCCACAGCCAGCAGCTGGATAAGAATAAGAGGCCTTGTGATTCATGAGTGCTTGCTTTTTTGCTTATTTTTAATGTACACCAAAAATGAAGATATGTGGTCTTCTGCTTCAGTGGTTAATGATATTAATGTAAGACTCTCTTTCCATGCATAGGTCTGCTCCGTAAATAAAACCATGACTTAAGAGTCATGTGTCCCATTGAAATTCTTCTGCCCGCAATATGAGACAAACATGCAGAAAATGAGAAGAAAAGAAAATCGGCAAGAATAATGTTAGCCAGCATACTTTGTACTCCTTTGTAGCATTAAAAAGCAAGGTCCTGTCTGCTATGCTGCTGTTAAGTGTAGAAAAGACTAAAAATCAAAACTCTTCACTTTACAGAAAGCAGATCCCTAGGTTTAGAAAATCTTGCTTTGCCAGTATTGCCCTCTTGTGGGATTTCACAGCAAAGTAAAGGAGCATTACTTTCAAATGGTCATGAACAGCTTGACTGTTAGGGCCCTGTACAAAGATCTGTCTGGGGCTCCAGTTACAAAATCTCTCTTGACTGTTGAAATCAGCAGATAATTCTTCAACTGCACAACTCCATAAGGGGAGTTTGTGCCTTGTGCACATGTGAGACTGTTTGCATAGGTTGGCCCTGGATGGAGACAGGGGCTTGCAAATGACGTTGCGAGGCTTTTATGCTTGTTCAAATTCTTCTCTCCTCTGCTTAAAAATCCTCATGTTTTTAAAGTCTTATAATATCATATCATCATCCTTTGATAGCTGAGTGCCTGACCCCGGATACAATTCCCTGCCTTTGTATTTGCAACAGTCTCAACCTGAGCTTGTTCTAGTCACTCTTTCTACTCTTTACCTTCACCAGCCAGGAAGAGAATGTGGGAAAATTTCAAATATTTAGCAGCTTGTCTCTGCAGTAGGAGGTATAACTAGTGAATGATTGTCCAGTGTCATGAAACTTCTGTAAAGAGGAGATGGGAATATCTTTCCTGTCCATAAGGCACCTTCTTAAGAACAGATCTTTTTATGCCTTGGTATGGAAGGTGCTTATAAAAAAGGCTGGCATCCAAAATATAGCAGCCTTCTTTCAGAGTTAGTCTTCATCAGAGTGTCTTATGAAGAGGAACAGGACAAATTAAACATCACGGCATTTCATCATTAGATAAGTTTCACTAGAACTTAGCCCGTGAGATGACCACCAAGAAATCTCGACTTTGCGGATCTTGGAATTTTGGGAGCAAGAAGGCCAAAGATTGGTGGATCCTCAGTATTGACTGGATGAAACATACACTGTATTTGAAAAGGTGTAAAACTCACTCTTCTCATATCCTTTGTTTGTTAACACCTAGAGCAATGGCCATCGTAATATCTATAAGGAGGAAACTGATGTGCAACTGAAAGCAAAAAATTACAGTGCTGGCCAGCAGCAAGTTAAAGAGGGGATTTATAATTAAAAAAAAATATATCTCTTTGTTTGGGCTGGTGGCTGTAATGGACTATGAGGTGTTTACTTTCTAAGAGGAAATATTGTATATATTTGCACTACTTATATCTCTCCACAGACCATCACTGAAACAAGGTTGGAGCCTGTCCTGGAAAGTGCTAGTATTGGATTATTCTTTTTTTATATATATATCTTTTTTTTCAAAAGCTTCAAAGGAATTTGCATCTCTGAGACATGGGCCAGGCTCCTTGATCTTACAGGGTTCAGAATGAGATGGTGACGAGATCTTATACCGGGAAGGGCATTTACAGTGGGTGACTGTCCAGCTGTGTCATTCTTCCCTTTCATTCATTCCTCATTACTTCAATTCATGACATACTAGGAGGGAAGAGAGATAGAGGATTATTTTTAGTAAACAAGTTCGAATAAATCTGATGCCTTAAAGTCCATATAGCTAAGAATCTAACAAAATGGGTGTGCATGAGTTGAGTGCTTTACAACATTCTGCAAGCTAAAAACACATAGATCCATGTCCAGGCACCAGTATTTGGTCAAAGCTTTGGTTTACTTTAATCAGAATTTTATCCCAATAAGGATTGCAAGTTGAATATTGCTAATTTTTACTCACTTGATCACTCCTTATTCTTGCAGGTGGTTCCACTGATGATAATGCTTTAGTTACTTGACTAAGGGTTGCATACTCTTACTGACTGACACTTTCTTTGGAGCGTAAACATCTCCTTGGCTTACCACTCTTCAGATCTCACATACATACTTTTCTTCTGTATAAGATAATTTATCAAAGTCCAGTTTCTCCATCCAGTAGTTTGATAGTTTCATAGTTTCTAGGGTCGGAAGGGACCTGGGCAGATCATCTAGTCCGACCCCCTGCCATGGCAGGAAAGAGTACTGGGGGTCAAACGACCCCAGCAAGATGGTCATCTAACCTCCTCTTAAAACCCCCCAGGGTGGGAGCCTGCACCACCTCACTTGGCAGCTGGTTCCAGACCCTAGCCGCCCTGACCGTGAAGTAGCGCCTCCTGATGTCCAACTTAAACCTTCCCTCCGCCAGCTTGTGACCGTTATTCCTGGTCACTCCTGGCGGCGCTCGGGGGAACAGGGACTCCCCCAGTGCCTGTTGATCCCCCCTGACCAGTTTATAGCAGGCCACAAGATCCCCCCTCAGCCTTCTCTTCTGGAGGCTGAACAGGTTCAGGTCCCGTAACCTTTCCTCATAGGACCTTCCCTGCTGTCCCTTGATCATGCGAGTGGCCCTCCTCTGGACCCTCTCCATGCTGTCCACATCCCTCTTAAAGTGCGGCTCCCAGAACTGGACACAGTACTCCAGCTGCGGCCTGACCAGTGCCGCATAGAGGGGGAGGATCGCCTCCTTGGTCCTGCTTGAAATGCATCTGTGGATGCACGACAAGGTACAGTTGGCCTTCCTGACCGCGTCCCCACACTGTTCCACACGCAGTTCAGGGACTTGTTAATTCTAAAGCCAGCCCTTCCTCACTGACCCCTCACTTCCCTGCTATTTAAACTCCATCAAGAATACTTGTTTCTATGCTTCAGAAATAGAAAACACACAAAATGGAAGCAAAAATCCCCTGCAATTTGGTAAACCTGGTGAAGATCAGTACACTTGTGGCTTAATCCCTAGAGAAGAAGTCTGCTAAATCAACTAGAGCCAGACTGGACCCAAGATCTTTTGTTTCACAGGGAGTGTATGACAATTAATGAGAACAAAAACTTCTATTTTTTGAAGGGCTATTAAACCCCATGTGTTGGAGCCAGTTTCTAACTAGAAGATCTCATTCTGATCTCCGTGTGAGGAGATTGTTCCCCATCTGCCAGGTGTAGGGTTCTTAAGCCTTCCTTTGAAACATCTGGTGCTTGATACTGGATCCTGAACAAAGACGCTTCGTACATCTGACCCAGTCTAGTGATTCACTCAACTGGCATAGTTACAAATGCGACTGTATGAGGGTAGTGACAGTAGAAAGAGGTATTCATCCAACCTGGTTTCCTGATCCTCTGTGGGAGGCACAGGCCTGCTAGGGAGACAGACATTAACATGAATAAGCATATCTTCACCATAAACCATTCATCCTCAACTTATATCCATTGAACTTGATATAATTCTTTGGAGCAACACAGGCAGATCAAGTAGAATCTCATACATTTGATCAATGTTCCTCTTACTCTGGGGAAGAATAGCAAGAGCATCCACCATTTCCTCTCAGCAATAAAAGGAGAGACTAGAAGGGAGAGATTGTGTTCAATAGCATCAGAGCTAACAGGCTCTAACTTTTTAAAGGAAAATTGCACTCATTGTTTCCCATAATGGCAAGACCTCATGCCTGGAGTACATTTTGGCATTTCCTATAGCTTTGCATTCATATGTGATGATATAAGAACACATTTGGCTTCTATTTATACCATGAGATCAAAGGAATTGCCCTGATACACCAGACAGCAAAACTGAGTCTTCTGCAATATGCTGATGCAATATCAGGATGCAAACATTGCAGCACAATATCAGGAGAACTGTTGGTGACTTTGGGGTTTTCTGGCTCCATTCCCTGATCAAATGTTTTTTTTCCATAGCTTTAGAAAGTTGAAGAGCTTTGCCATGAATTCATTTTGACAGATAAAACTAAAACCAGAATAAGATCAAGCTGATCAATATATTCTAAATTCAGTCTCAGTGGGTGCGTCTGCACGTGACGCTACGTCACCGTAGCAACGTGCTCCCTCGTTATAGTGTGTTGCTATGGCAATGTAGTAGCTAAAAATAACCATGTGCTGCATGCATGGTGCAGTATGGGTTGTTACCGCACCATCATTTAGTACTTCCAAAAGGCAGTACTATATGACGGCGCAGTAACAAAGGCACCAGAGGGACACGTGTAGAACACAGTAGTCCCCAAAACAAGAGCTGGTCTCACCCCCGCGACCAACTCTGTGACATGGATACTGATAACTGAGAATTTCAAATACCTGAACCATCTTGACACCATGGGGCCTTCTGATAATAGTGGCACCTGAGAGCAATATTAATTTTCTGCAGGTTCTTGTTTCCAGAACATTGCTGCATGTACTTACAGACATTCAGACTGACCTACACTCTTGGGCTTCTCCTGGCATAAATGTGAGGGGGAAACGCAGGGTGCAAGTCCCAGACAGAAAAAAAAGCCTTTAATCTTAGAAAGAATAGTGATTTAGTGACAGTGATGCAACAAGAGTTTGTAAAATTCTCTTCCTCTCATATATTATTTCTGGGCTAAGAGTAAGATTAGAATCAGCTTCCTGTCTGATACATCCACACACAAGAGACTATGTCCTGATTTATGGGAGATAGACCCTGTTTCATTTCATTTGGTGCTGTCACTGCAATATCAAATGTCTCTATACTTTTAAAAGAAAACCCCAAACTTGTCATTTCCCCACTAGAAGACAACAAATTCTAATTGTCTTCTTTTTTCACTACATCTTCCCTGGTCCCTCAGAGTAACAGTTTCTGGTTCTGATGATAACATTTCCTGGCTCTTATTTTACATCCTTTGGTTTACAAGTCCCTACATGAGTCACACATTTCTCTCTCCCGGAGCTCCTTCGTTCCAGTGACTCAGGACACACTGGACTTTTATTGTGGCTCAATGAACTCAGCTGACTGAGCAAGCCCATCCACTGAAGAGGGGATTAATAGCAGCAATTTGTGACTTGCTACACAGAAGGGGTGTTGGTTATGCCAACAGGAAACTGGTCTGCTTTGATAGGTTGTGAGAGCTCGGTTAGATGGCTAAATGGCATTCACTTCTTTTTTTTCCTTTTCCTTTTTCGTTTTTGAAGATCTTTTTTATTTCCTAGCAGGACTTTTTTCCCTTTGGTTCATATACAAATATTTCCAGATGCTACCAGGACCCTTAGAGCAATTTTCAATGGAAAAAAACTGATAATTATTAATTAATCATCTAGGATTCCCAAGGGATATTGTAAGCACATGCAGCTTACCATCAGTTATGGGATATTTACCTTTCTTTTTCTGCCATGTCTTGTTTCTCTTCTGCTCTGTAAGGAGAAATTATATTTGAAATCTACTGCATAGAATTAATCAGCCTTTCCGTCAAGCTTGGATGTTATTCTAAAACATGCTATAGCTAAAGAGCAGTTAAGAGCTTGCTACAGAAATTAATTACTGGGTGACAGTTGCTGATCCATTTTGGCCTAAAAGCTATGAAAATTTGTAGATTCAAACTGTTCCACTATATAGCTTAATCACTTGGGAACGATTTTAAAGATGTAAAGGGCTTATTATGATCCTGATACTGCAGCCTCTACTCAGGTGAGTCATCCTTGTTCCCATGACGTTTTTCACACTGTTATTCAGTCAACTTTTATGTTGATGTTCTTGAGCTACAGAGAAGCTTATATTTTTTGTTTAACTGGCTTTTAGCAATGTACATGAACACTTCCAAATGACTTCTAATAGCGTGGAACTGGATTCTGGTAGCTTTACTGTTGCTGAATGGCTTTTTACTCTGTGGGTGAAATTCTGACCCTAATGGGAATTTTGCAATGACTTCAGTGGGGCCAAGATTTCACCCCATGGGCACATCCCCACAAGCAGGGGCGGGTGCTTGCAGTGGCAAAAAAAGTAGCAGATTTGTGCTGCTACATTTTGCCTCTGTGCATGCCCCTGCACATGGGCTTTGGTGCAGAGGAAACTGCCATTCCCCACTCCTCCCAGCTCCCAGTGTACTGGAGGAGCTGGGGTGGACTTAGAGGAGGGGAGGCACTCTGGCTGGCAGCCAGAGGGTCTCCCAGGAGGACTGAGCCTCTGTGTCTGCTGGTGCACACTCCTGTGGCACATACTGCTTTTTTTTGCTACTGGGATTTCCTAGTAGCAAATTTTGCCCCCATAAGGGGCACATTTTAATGTGACGGGCATGCAGTTTGTGGCACCGCAAAGAGGTGTGCGGTGCCACAAACCACACATGTCTGCATGTCTGCACCCGGCCCATGAGTCAATGGCACTTCTTCCAGGTCCTGCTCAATGACAGTGATAGACTCTGACCCCAATCCCTGATCTATATATAGTTTTGTACTGTCATAACTACTTTGTTTTGGGTACAGTCTTCATTAAAGGGGTTAAATCACTACAGCCTCTAGTTGTGGATGTGGTTATACCTGTTGTAAAGATGTTTTATACTGGAGTATGCTTATTCCCTCTTCTGTACAGGAATAAACTTTACTGATATTAATGCCTTCAAACTGTGGTGGCAGAGGGGTGCATCGCTTTGATTGCAGAGGTATAGGTTAAGTGGTATAACTGAGAATAGATGAGCCTTGAGAGAGGTAAGTAGACTTTTATTTAGGAGTGTACCAACGTAATTTTTAGAAATACTCATCAGTTTTTCAATTGCCTTATTACTGTCAAAGGGCCCTTCTACTCTGGTTCCTTCTTGACAATAGCTGTGAACAACTGACTTCCCCTAGCCCTCTTTCAGGTAGCACTGAAAACAGTTTGACTGCTTTTCCAGTTGGGAAGACAAGTGTAGGCAAAGCGGAGGAAACCATTCTTGATGGGTACTGTCAATAGCAACTATTAGTTTTACAAGGATTTATAAGGCGCCTGTTACTGTGGATTCTGGGCACATGATTAGATAAGTGGGTCAGCTTCACCATTAAGAACATCAACTGCAGCTTCAAAGAAATTCATGGGATTGCACCACCTTACACCGGCAATTAGTGTTTGTAAAATCTCATCTATTACATTCCCTTCATAGCCCTATTCCAACAGATCCTTCAGCACAAAACATATTGCCAGATAATGAAAATTGATTCCTCTATGGCTGGCAGAAATGCTTTGGATTTTGGCCATGGAGTAAAAGTATTCCAATTAGAACCAGGCAAATAATTCACTTTTATTGCTGATCAGATGAATTTCACATATTCTTCTGTTCCATGAACTGCCTGTGATTTCTCAAATGTTTCCATCATTGAAAATGATTTAAAATGACTTCTATTTGCTGAATAGTCATGAACTGACAAGTATACTTAGAGTTAAGCACATGCATGAATGCTTTGTTGAATCAGAGCCTCTGTAAGCAAAGCCTAGAATTCCTGGAAACCGGGATGAGCTAGCCCGGTGCCACTCAGCCCTAACTGGCCCAGCAGCCCCATCAGCAGGCAACATGAGCCTCAATAACATATGCACTTAGGTAAATTAAATATTAAGTATATACTTAAATCCCATTGATATCTGTAGATTGATTGCATCCTGCACCAGAACCCTGCCCTATTTTCTGGCTGATTCTGCCTGACCTCAGACTAACACAACTAACTACCTCTTTGTAGGATCGACAAAAAGCAGAACAACTCCCCCCCCGCCCCACAAGTAACTGGGTTATAAGGCACAAAAAATGTAATGGTGATAACTTGCAAGTTTTCATAGGAGCAAAACAAATTGCAATGGCTTTATGATAATATGAGTCCCACGCTTCCCATTCTGCATCTCCAAAAAGTTGCTTTTACCTTTCTTTCCTGGCTTTGATTCTCTCTTCTTCATATCTGCAACAAAACAGATACTTTTTCAGTAAATGGGCAGTCAGGACTGTCTACTTTGCTTCTTAGTAAATGCTTCATTTACTTTGAAGGGTGCAGGCAGTAGCTACAGTATACAAAGAGTATGACACTGTTCTGCATTCTGTTCCTATAGAAGACCTGGCAGGTAATTTGTTCAATAAGACGATTTACATACAGGAGCAGATCTAATATTCCTTTGCCAGAGATGCTTGGAGGCAGAGAAGGTTTGTAGTTTCCTTCAGGCCATGCTACAGCTTCCTGTATAGTACTTTTTAGTGTTTTGTTCAGTCCAGGGTTATAACCACCTGATATCAGCTTTGAGTCCTTTACTTTTCCTTCCAAAGCTGCCGCTGATCCATTTATTAAGACGCCCCCTTCCCCACTGTAGGGGGAAAATGACTCCCTAAATTCTGTGCAGCTCATCGTGCAGAGATGGAGTCGAAGTCTCTCCTTCGACTACTAGTGTTCCCGCAAGAGGAACTAAAGGGGCTAGCTCCGGTAGGGTTTCTGATGGGAACCCTGCTGTAACCCTTGAAGAACATAGCCATTGCCCGGGCCCACTTCCCTCCCATCACCCCATGATACGACACTGAGCTAAAGCAATCAGTTGTCAGTGGAGGAGGACAGTCTCCCACTGAGTGGACAGAGGTCCCACTAGCATGCTCCCTCTGTCCCATGGTGTCCTAGCCATGTGATAAGCTAGTGGAAGAGTTACCATGTCAAGTCCTTGTTTAAGTCCTCCCTGACTGGTCCCTTCCATAGTCAATTCTACAAATTAGGTAAAATCAGAAGCAAAAAGCAAATAGAGGAAGCAGGAAATGGAACAATCTCCATTGACAGTAGTCCCCTGAGACTTTTTCACTTCCCTGAGAGTGACCTGCTTCTCCAGGGGTTGTCAAACTGTCCCATACTCATCTTACAACGACAGTCGTTTCAGGTTCCATACTTTTGAGGTCTCCTCCTCACCACCCAGCATTGCAGGCAAAGAAGCTGCTTGCAAAGCTGAGAACCCATGACTGATTGGGTGAGCTATTCTGAAAAACGAGTTTCCCATGACTTCTAATCACTACGTGTTTACAAATACATGAACCCGACCTGTGCACACACAACTTGGGGGTCTGCCCACACACAATATCTGTACTCATGAAAACGGGGAGTTCAGTGCGTGAAAAGATGGCCCTCTCTACAAAAATTACGTTAGAGTTATCATGTCCCGAAGGGGAAGGACAATTATTCTCCCCATTTTATAGCTGACGCAGGGAACTCGTGGCTTGCCCAGAGCCAAAGAATAAATATGTCTGAACTAGAATTAAACACACAGACAGCTTGGATCCTAGTCCTTTGTCTTGCCCACAGGGCTGGCCTCACAAAGCGAGGGGATGATGGGATGTGGCAGCAGTACCCCAGAGTTGCCAAGCTTTCGAATGCAGGGTCCCTGCAATACTTACTGTACGACACACTCGGGAATCTGCACGTGCTCCATAGGGATGATCTGCTCCAGGTCTTCCAGGCTGTGAATGTACTGGATCTTACTGATAAACTTCACACTGCCAAGGAAAGAGCACAGAGAACTAAAGACCCTGTTCAGACTTTCACATTCACATAATGATGAATGTATGGGGTTAAATCACATTCCTGATGAAATCCATGGGAGGTTTGCAATTGATTTCAATATGGCAGGGTTATGATTCGTAGCAGGTATCAGTTATGGGAAACAAATCCATCTATGTAGCCCAATATCTTGTCTCTGACAGTGGCCCACAGCAGGCAGCTCTGGGACAGCCTGCCCTCATCTAAGTCTCTTCCCAGTCTCTACTAGTTAACTGCCTTAAAAGCTTAATTTCCACTCCAAAAACCACTTGTCGTATCTGGTGGAACTTTCTGTATACCTGATGAAGGGCCTGGATATAGCCAGCACTGTCCGGATGAACCACGAAGGATGCACTATTATCAGAGCTTTCAGGTTTTTCCTCAGTCTGTGGAAAAGTCAGATGATAAGAGGTTAGACCAGAAGGGCTTTCTTTTGAGCTTGCTTTCACCTGTGTGAGTCCATGGATTTCGGTGACTTCTAGTGGGTGTTGGATCAGACATAGGCCCACGGGATCAAATACATTAGGGACAGGAATGATCTACTGAGCCATAGGTTTTAGCTGTTACAGACTTGACCTCATGTTATATCCTTCAGCACCTTACCCAAGCATTGCTTTATAGGTAAGTAAACTATCTAGGAAGAGGGAAGAGCTAGTTTAGTCTAAAAGCAACAAAAGCCCAGACAATTACAGGAAAATCCGCCATACTAATTCATTTTTGTGGTGGATTTGTAATGTATAATGTCAGTTGAAGGGCATGAGACCTACAGCTGGGATATTCTAAGGAGCCTATGAGAGTTAGGCAGGAAAGCTGGATTTAATTTCTGGCTCTACTTCTGACTTGCTGTTTGAGTTTGTCCTAGTTGCCTATGTCCATGGTTTCTGAAAAAGACTCTCCTTTTGGGTGCCTCGGTATCTGAGTGCCCAACAGGAGACACTTGGAGTCAGATTTTGGAAGGTGCTGAGCATCTATGCTCTCAGTTGGGTTTGTGGGTGCTTGGTTTCTGAAAATTGGAGCCTCTCTGCACTGCTAAGTGACTTAGAGCAGCCAGCGAGAGTGCCTTGATAATAGAGATCAAAATATCATATTAAGAAATTACCTTTTAGCTTACTACAATCAAGGATGCACTTAGAGTGTGGTTATTATTTAGAAACCCCTTTACGGACAGTCCCTGCCCAAAGAGCTTCCAATCTATGTACAAGGCAAGGGACAAGAGGTGAATGCAGAGAGACAGGTGGGTGGGAGAGACAAAAGGAAACGCGTCTAGTTATGTGAACGTTGCCATGGTTGTCTCCAACGTACAAGCATTTTATCTAACAGTCTAGTGAAATATAATAAAAATACTACTGAAAATGTAGAACCAAAGTGACATAAAATGACAGTTACCTTCTATTTTATGTTTATGGAAAACAGGTCTTTACATGTTGTCCCTTTGCTCTTACGTGCCACAACTCAGGCAGGTATGAAGTAGGAACACAGTACCCTACTCAGGAAAGAGATGAAAACTGGCTGAATCCGTTCTAACAGCTCCCCCTGATGGCATCATTTCAGTACTCTGGGCTTTTACCAATATCCAACTTTGAAAGAGCCCATGATGCCTCAAGGAAGTTGCAGACTGTTAGCCAGGGAATAAACTACCGATCTTACTCCCTTTCTGTTGTAAAGGATAAACCTATACCAGTAATGTGATCTGAGGTGCTCAGCACCTCTTTTGTTGTTGCTGCTGCTTAATCCTCAGTGGAATTCAGACCTCTACATGCATCCAGTCCTAAAGTACTTTGCATGGGTACATGAAGGCCGAAAGCACCTTTAAAGCTGGAGTCCTAAGTGTCACTGCCAGTAGGGTGCCTTTACACTGTTTTGGCCCTACCTTATAGTAGAATAGCAGAGTCCAATTAGACTGTATGATCATGGCATTAATTAAGCTGGTTTCTCACCTTCTGTCTATCATCTGATAGCATTTCTTCAACCAGCCCAGGCCCGGCATCCTCCGACGTGGTGTGGCTCCATTCAGATATACGATCATATAGTCTTCGGCCACCAGCAACTCCAAGCTGCTGATAACATACCTGACAGATGGAAATTGAAAGCAGAAATGGGGTGAAACTTCAGAAAGGTAAACGGATGGATTGGAGTTTCTTTTTTTTTATCTTCACGTGTCCTTGCTCCACAACATCAGCAGACTAAGAATGCCTCAGTCTACTGATACGTCCCCATGCTTTACCACGGGGAGTCCAACAAAGACTGGAATTGAAAAACTTTCTGGTCTTTTTTGTACAGAAGATATCTCAAACCTTTCATAAGGTGTCTTTGCAGGAGTCATGGGAGGCTATGGTCTTGAGTCATGAGCTATGGTCCATACTTCTATGTGCACCCTTTGCCCAGGAGTAGCATCTATTAACCCTTTTCAGTCCGATCTGGAGGAGTCCTATCCTGGACATGTTTTTTTTTTTGCTGGCTGTAATATGGGCATCCATTAACACTGCATGTTAGATTGCATGTTAGAGGACACCATGGAGGACAGGGCATCTAGTGGCATTCAGCCATATACACTCAGGAGCTTCATGGATTCCTCCTTGTTCATTTTTTCCAATGGAGGTTCTTCATGCAGTGGGCTCAATAGATAGCACAGATGTTAGCATCCCTAGTCCCCAGGCACGTTCCCTTCCTTGCCTCCCCTCTGTCATGCAATTGTGTACAGCCACTTACAAAAAGAGATTCTCCATGATGTAATGGTAGTCAGCCAAGTTACTGTCTGGGAGATAGCAAGCAGCAAAGACAATGATGGCATTGAGACCTTCTCCATAATACCCTAATAGAGAAAGAGACGGACAGCATGACAGCCGGAAATGGGACAGACAGCAGAGAGGCATGAGGTCAAAGGGGAGCTTAATGGGACAGTTTTACAGCTAGACCTATGCTCATGCTGTGCTCTATAACTCTACCCCCACCTTAGACAAGTATCCTGAGCCCACACAGCACTCCTCCTGGAGCCATGTACCACTATAAACCACCACTGGCTTAATTGCTCCAGCTATGGGCTTATTTATATGATTTAAATAAAGCAAATAACTACACTTTGCCGTGTGCCCTAAATCTATTTAGATTTGGATCCCAGCAAACTACAATGAGAACTGGATTCAAGTAGAGTCCAAGTGACAGTCCAGTCCTGAAGAATTTTACCATGAGGGCTACAAGGACCTCCTGTTCGATCTTAACATATTTTATCAGGTCCCATATCTGCTTTCAGTCAAGAGAGGTATTCACAATTGTGATCTGATTATTTCATCTTCGGATATGAAGCAGTTGTTGGACTTAGGGGAAGGAGGGTTTTCTATCTTGGCTGAACTACTGACATATTGCTAGACCTGAGTCAAATCACTTGGGCTAGTAAATTTGGGCTCAGTTTTCAGGACTCATTTTCAGAGCTGCTGAATATCTGCTGTATTAGGAGACTTCAGCGTGAGTTAAGGGTGCCCTGCCTCTTGAATTCAGACCTTATATCTGTTGCTGCAATTTGTTATTGTGCTCTGGCTGTTATGTAGCTGGGTTTCTTAGTGTGATGTGAAACATCACTGTCTGCTATTGGACATGTACAATAAAAATCACTTGCTTTCTAATGTTATGGTCAAGACAACCAGTTATTCAATCTTAATTGGCCCAACAGCTTAAGAAGCAAACTTTTGAAAGAAACTCCAGCAGGGCCATTTAACACACCATGGCTTCCCTTTCCCTCACCTCCATGTGTCACCACTCTCATGTAGGGTTTGATCATCTGCAGATCTATGCGGTGTTCCTGCTCCCCAATGATAACGGTCCTCCAGAGTCTCCCATTGGTAGTGCTGCCATCTTCCGCCACTCCATCCCCAAACAGATCAGCACTGTCCCCGGGCATGTTCTTGGCTGTGGCTACAGGTGTATCATCTGAAAAAGGGAAAGTGAGCACACTGGTGAACATCTCTGTGAGACTGGAGAGAGTTTCCAGGTGCTCCTATAAGCCTCACCCTCCTGCAGTAAGGTTATAAGCCTGAATCTTAGCTTCTTTTCTGTTCGCTGGTCTACACATGGAAGTTAATTCAAAATAAGTTAGTATATGAATTCAAAGTGGGGTAACTATTCTGTATTAGTTTTGCTTTGGGAAAATATTAACCTCAGGATAAATGTGATTTATTCCAAATGAGCTCTATTCACTCCCAAAGTGGATTATATACACATTTTTATTCCATAGTAAGAGCCTCCACTTAGGCAGTTAAACAGGAACAGCTGTTCCAGGACAACTCCCAGTGTAGACAAGCCATTAGTAAGGCCATGGGAGGCAGTAGAAACCACAGATTAAGAATGAAAATTTTCCTTTCATGCTTTGGTCTGCCCTAGGTTTGTGTTTATTGCAAATAATTAGTTGAGCTCCATTGTCAAACAGCAGTAGAAACAGTCACAATGCCTTGTGCTCTATACTGCTGCAGTCACAAAGGAGCACAAAATGCTTTTTGATCCTTGTGCTGTCCCCTTGGGTGTTTCACAGCAGCATTATGCATGAGTTTGGGTAAGTGATTGAGGGTCACTGTATAAAACTGACCTTTGAGGGAGGTGGGGGGATTTAAGGAGGAAGAATGGAATGATCTGTGCTGGAATTTGCCTTGACGTTAATGCCCCCTCCTTGTGAAAGGTAGCAGAGCATATATACTGATCACATCTGGCCAGGACCACAATGCTATGCCTGGTCAGATGCTTCATTAATTTTGTCAGGGGTGTGAACATTTATGCCATTGGAGAATGTATCCCACAATCTATCATTATAAGTCCCGATGACCTCAGTAATTGGTAGCAGTATTTCGGAGCTAGTAGACCCCACTGGCAATACTCTTGACAGTGAAGCAGGGTGAAAAGAAAGATGCTTGGAGTTAATCCAACACCAGACCGAGGCCTGAACTTGTCTTTTACCTTCCCACTCCAGCTCATTCCCATTTCCCAGGAACTCCAGGGAGTCCGTCTCATCTGGGGTTTCAATGTCATCCACGTTAATGTCCAGATCATCGGGGGTGTCCAGGAAGTCATCAGACAGGATGGAGCCCTCGCTGTGGTCCAGTGAAATGTTGATTTCAGGTGCTATGAGCGTCTTACGTTTACGATGCGCCCCGTTAAAGTTTAAAGTGTTAGGAGGAGCTGCAAGTAAGAAAGAAAGAAAGTAATAATTTGTCCTAATGACTTACTCTTTTAGCAAGACGTTGAATGTATAGATCCCTTTATATAAAAAACATTCTTACACCTCTCTGCAGTAGATATTATTATTCCTATAGCAACAAGGTCCAAACTGGGCACATGCATTAGAGCAGCCAGCAAGAGTGCCTTGAGAACAGAGGTCAAAATATCATATTAAGAAATGGCCTCTTAGCTTACTACAACCAAGGATGCACTTAAAGTGTGGCTATTATTTAGAAACCCCTTTATGGAGGGGTTTCTCCTACACATGCATTAATGCACAATGGTACCTGTAGTAACAGGTACTAACTAAATGTGCAGTAACCAGCAGCTGGTTATTACAGGTATCTGTTATTACAGGTACTAAACTAAATATGCAGTAACCAGCATTACTGTGCAGTAGCACCGGTGCACACCTTTTTAGGCTAATTCTACTGTGCATTAGCACATTAGCATGCATTTTGCCCGCTGTGCTAATGCACAGTAGAAATTAGTCTACTGTGCTTGAAGCATCTTGTGTAGACGTGCCCACTGAGGCACAAATATATTAAGCCATTTAACCGAAACAAGGCAGTGTCAGTGGCAAGAGCCAGGAGCAGAAGCGAGGAGTCCCGACTCCCAGTTTTCTCTTCTAACTACTAGGCGACACTCCTAGCACATTATGAAATACAACCCTAGTTTTCAGTTTTCACAGCTGTTATGCACGACTGAGGAATCTCCAAATTCCATCCGTCTCCTGAGCTGGAGACGTTACTGGACCTAAATGTTCCCCAGCAAGAGCTTCTACTTAGTTAATAATGCTTAGCACTAATATAATGTTTTCTGTTATTGGAAGGAGCTGTGCAGACAGTAACCAACTACCATTTACAACCCCACATGAGACAGGATCAGTATCATCATTCCCATCTTACAGGCAAGTATATTGAGACACAGGGGCCCTGTTTACAAAGAAACTGGGTCTAAAAATATTAAAGTATGGATGTCTCTAGACTGTTGGGCCATACGTTCCATGTTCGCTAGGACTGTCCTGTTCTGAACACCTGTCCCAGGCATCCTGTAGGTTTCTTCAAATGAGCACTTTTGTCCCATTTTCAGAAACCTCCCTCCAGATTTTGTTAAGCACTCCTAGTGAAACTGGAACAGACAGAAATCTTCACTGGTTTCATCATCCTTGCCAAAGTGTTCTGGTTAAACCTTGAAGGGAATTTGCTCCCACTCTAGGCACAGCCTACTCCGACAGCTGACTTTTGCAAAATGCCTCTTCAAAGTCAAAATATGCAAGGCCAATACTTACAAGATGTGTTCTCGTCTTCTGTAGGGCTGCCCAGAGACTCCATTCCTGTCTCTTCTGGGAGAGGTCTGCAAAACACAGCCAGTGCAAAGTATCCAGAGACCAAGATAAGAAAGCAAGAAGAACAGAGTTAGCAGGGGATGCCCAAAATCAAATGTTCCCATTTCAGTGCTTGTGGCTTCAAAGCTACTATTTTTTGAGCACACGAGTCTTATCGTATTTATTAAGCCTACATACATACTGGATGTCGATGGCATGACTCAAACAAAAGGTACAAGGTACATCCAAAAGAACCAACCAGCCCTGGTACTATACAAAACATAACCAATGATCCTTAAGCCAAGACCTCCTCTCACTGAGCTCCCTAGCAACAGAGACCGACTCACAACTCATACAAAGAACTGGAAGGGAAAATGGGTTGGTAGATGTAAAAAGTGATTAAGTGACTCCTCAGTGATCTAGAAAACATCAACTGAAGAATACAGAGCCCACCAGATCTCCAAGGCGTCTAGTGAAGAGGCCCAGAAAGGGAGTCTGAAGCAGATCTCTAGACAGAGGAAGCCCTAACCCGGGGCTGGGCTTATCTGAACCTAGGGATGGAGAAGACATTTACCTTCGTCAGCCTTAACCGTTGGGTGAGAACAGAGAACCAGGACAGAGCTCATGGTTTGGGACCTCAAAGTACAAAGAGCTTTATGTGGTATTTCTTGATACCAAAATACTAAGATGTTGTTCCTTTGGCTTGGCACCGCTGACCTTACACATATAGGCAGACAGTGCTGCCCACAATGGATGGAGGGATCTACAGGAGGGATCTACAGTCTTTCATGGTCGATGCACTGGGAAAAATTGGCAAAAGACTCCAAGTCCATTCTTTCATACATCTTTTACATCCATTCTTTCTTTCTTTCCATCCATCTTTTACATACATTTCATCCATTCTTTCATACGTCTCATGGTTTGCCTGGGAATAACCCAAACAACTGCCAATTAATTCTGGCAGTATTTTGCGATCCAAAGTCCTTCATGGCCAACTGCATGAAGCCCACTCTGCTCTCCTCAAAGCTGAGCTACCAGGGACTATAGATTCTCTTTGATGATGCATCAGTGACTAATTTCCTGCTACCAGCAATGCATGAACAACCTAATGACAATGCTTCTGGGACCCCCAGTCACCAATCTGTAGCACCTGGCTCTGTCAGATCTGTGCACGGAGGAGGCTCATTCAGAACTAACATTTAAGGCATTCTTTGCTTTTGCAGAACAGCCAAGCCTGGCAGACCTGCTTGTTCTCATGGCTGGCAAATCCTCATAGGGAGGCATATTTAATTTGTTTTCATTGGTGGAAAAATACCTGGAATATTTCTTTCCCGGCCTACTCTGATGAGACTGTTCTGAATCGAACACTGCATTATTAACTAGTCCTGGATCTAGACCTTATAGTACTAAATGCTCAACACACACAGATTGGAAAGATGGTTTCTACCCCAAATAGAGCTGACAGGTGGAGACAGATAGAGAGGAGAAGACCAAACAGGCCAGTGTGTGAGGCAGTGGTATCACTTAGTGATAGCCATGGCCATCGCCTTCCCTCACCTAACCCCCCAACAACTTCATGTGGCCCCTCAAAGCATGAGCATTGCTGTGCAAGGTGAACAGGGGTCCTGGGCATGTTTTCTCTGTCCTGGCCTGGTATTTTTGCACAGGGATAAAAGGGGAGGAAAATCTGGTTCTTAATGCAGGAAGTGCTTTGCAAAATGTCTATTCACCATCCTGCAAGGAGTATCACAGTCGAACGTGTACACCGCCTCTGCTGCTACTGAGCATTATTGATCTTTTCAGCGTCCTGCAGACATTAACTGATTCATCCTCATAGCAGCTCCTCCCGAGGGAAATTAGGATTATTGTCTCCTTTATGAAAGGGAGGAAACTGGTGCCATAAGTGAACTTCACTACAGTATAAGGGAGTCAGCACCAGGGATGGAATTAAAACTCCATGGACCTTGGCTTCCTGTTTCAGAGCTTGCACCCTTGAACCATGCCTCTCCCAGGTCAATCCTTGCTCTCAGTTGTGCAAGACCTGATGATCAGACCCCAAACCTGCAGCGGTTTTGTAATACACAAAAATATACACTTGGACAAGCACCAGCAGGCTGGGTAGTTTCACTGCTTGCGACCTACCCAAGAATTCAAACCCATGCCCGTCTCCGGGAGTACCAGGCTGACATGACAAATGGTCCCCCTGGGCTGTTACCACCACCCCGTGGTACAGCGTGATGGGTCAGCACATTCAGTTCCTGCCACCAGGCATTTGTGCTCCCTGTGGCATAGACACTTTTCTACAAGTGGATCACTACAAGGCTCAGAAATACCAATTTAATTACCATCTTGCTTTCAAATGCAAGTCCTGGAGCCAGGCTCTTTGCTCACTTGGATTAATGTAAACTCTGTGTAATTTTGAGGAAGCCAAGGCCGGAAAGTGAGATGAGAATCTGTCCCCCAGTTCATACCTGTGACACTTTTCACCCTGCCAACTCTTTGAAAGCTGCCCTGGGCGCTCTCTTGCACGCGGCGTATGCTATCCTGAAGTCCAGGGGGCACAGTGTAACGCTCCACGCTGCTTTTTTTCTGCTAATTGCATAGCAAGCCACGCTAGAGCTTGCATCCCATTAGCCAGCACTTGCTCAGAGCTGTGGGAAGATGCTTTGCAAAGACAGAAGCCAAATCCTACAGATTATGATGCCAGTTGCAAAGCAACAGAGAACTGGTTTTGACTGGCACACTCATATAAGGGCGAGGTCTGCATATGCCTTATGAAACTCCAGAGGCTTCTTTCTGCACTGCCATGACACTGCAACCACCGGACACATTAAACGGTATGAATATTTAGATTAAGGGATAATCCTCTTGGAGCTGGTGGTTTTATATTTATGAATGTATGAGTTCTGATCAAAGGCTCAGTGGTCTGAGGCTCTGCATCTGTGCGTGTCAGACAGCGTTCCCCTGAACTGACAGGAACGAATAATATTCCTAGATCTATTGAAAAGATCCACAGGATCCTTTTTTTTTTTTCCAGCTGGGCTGAATACTTGACTGTGATTTGACCCCCACTGCCTGACACAGCCCAGGGGTGCAGTGTCCAAAAAAAGGCCCATCCATCTCTTTGATTGATCCAAAATACATGCTGCAGTGAGGCTCTATGGTTTATAACAGAGATCCAGGATTTTCAGATCCTTTCGAATAGTCTTTCTAAAAGTAGAAGGAAACAAAACAAATCTATGAAAAGGATGCTTAAACTGTTAGCTCCCAGTTCCTAGGGTGAATCTTGCCTTGGATTGTCCTTCCCATGTGCAGCTAGCTTAAGAGTTTCCTGAATAAAGCAGCTTTTGTAAGGGTCCTGTGCCACCATTTTGCTCTGTGCTGATCATATGATGCCCAGTTTCACCATATGAGGCACTTGCTCTCAGTCAGCAAACAGCCCGAGCCTCTCCTGGCTGTGATTAGATGGATGCTTTGCGCCCCAGTGAGCATGCTCCCGCATCCACCCCAAGGCATCGCTACAGCATCATTGCAGGACCGGAGTCACAAACAGTACAGACCTACTGCAGACAGGAGATGAAACCTTGAGGGAGCAGTGGATGGGGAGGGGGAGGATTTATTTTCTTGCCTGCTCCAGTGAGATCAGTCTTGCCTTGCATTACAGCTCTCTGCCTGGAGCTGCAATAATTCACGTTTAATCTGCACCTTTGCAAGGAAGAATCAGGAAACACAACCTACAGCAGCTTTCCATAGAGCGAATAGTCCCCTCCTGTCCTAGGCAAGGAACTGAATGGGAAACGGGGTGTGTTTTTGTAGCCGAATGGGTTAATCACAGCTAAGCAAAAATAGATGCTCAGCATGTCCTCCGGGAACGAGCTACTGCCGTCAGTGCAAGCTGGAAGGGACAGACTGCGGCTTCTGGGCTCTGTGATTTTTAAAGCCAAAGGGGACCAAATGGCTTTAAATAATGCTTCAAGTCCAGCTAAATGCAGCCAGTTGAGCAGGAGCGTGGGCATTTTTCAGGTCTCTGTAACTGGTTCCATTTCATTTACATTATACACTGCAGCATCTTTGCTCATTCAGTTCCTATGCAGCAGAAGCAAGGCCAGACCAGGGAACCTGGGCTTCAGGCTGCCTGGTTTCTACCTGCACTGCCACTGACTTCCCACATGACCCTGGGCATGTCGCTTCCCCTGCCTGGGCTTCACTTTCCCGGTCTGTCCGTTGGGACTGCTCATACCAACCCACAGCTTTGAGAGCTCTAAATGGGAAATACCTTGAGAGAACTGAGTATTATTAATGGACAACGAGTCTGTCACTCACTTCAGTAGCCACAGAGAAGTGGATACTTGAGGCTCCGGCATCGACATCACAGTTTGGCCCAGCGGATGGAGCACTGGACTCAGAAAGCCTGGGTGTCACTCCTGCCTTGGTCCTTGGCCTCCTTGGGCACATCGCTGCTCCTCCGTTTCCCCTCCCACTGTCTGGCCTACTTAGGCTATAAGATCTTTAGGGCAGGGCCTGCTTGCTGCTATGTGCAGCACCTAGCGCAAGGGACCAGATCTCAGGTAGCTTCTAGTTTCTATAGGGGATGGTCCCCAGCAGTGCCCAGTGCAAGGTTTGCAGGCAGCACGCTGCC